GCCTGAGATCTTCAATTTTAATGGGAATTGGATCCTCTTCTAGGCAAATCCTCAGAATCCTCCTGACTCACTAACACGAACCGTTGAATTTTGATCCAACGGCTACAAACAGAGAGTTCCTTTAAAATTATAATAATTGTAACCGTTAGATCAAAATCCAACGGCCCGTGTTATTGAATCAAGAGAATTCCAAGAATTTGCCTCAGAGAGGATCCAATTCCATTTTAATGCACCTCAGTCTTACTAACACACTGATGAGTCATATAAACCCAGAATATTTGTACATCAAAAACCAGGTTTTATTGAGGAACACATGCACAGAGTCAACAAAGAACATGGAAATCGACCAAAATTCCGACTTCTATATTTTAATTGATATTTTATAGGAAAAATATTTTAATTGATACATATAAATTATAACTTATTATTAATGAGAGCTAACAAATTAAATCCTATCATATGCAAAGATCATGGGCCGTTTGGGAGGTTACTTATCAGAAATTTGTTGTAATAATCGAACAACCAGAATGAATCATTATAAATCTGATATAATTTGAAATTATAATATGGATGGTAGGTGAATTATTTAAATTGAAATATGTCCAACCAATTTTTTATTTTAATTTTTAATATTTCCCTTTTCTTTATGGAAGATAATATTTCTTTCACTTTCTAATTGATACAGGTCAACGAGGGGTGGCAGCATTTTGTTCTCGTCACATGGCATCGAAATGGCTGTTACTTGGAGTTCGCATAATAAGATGAAGAAAGCTGATCTAAATTATTAATTAATCTGAAATTCATATTAAACAACACAAATTAGGGAATCGCGGCTTGGATTGATGTGTTGCCTATCAGTATGTTCTATATTTTCAGAAAATAAAAAAAGAAATGCTACAACACCTTATTTTTAAGAAAGGAAAAAAAAAAAAAAGAAGTGTTGGTACCTACTGTTTTATTAAAAGTTACATTATAATAGTCAAAGTTTATTTTTCAATGATACATAATTATAGTTAATTTATAAAAATAATAATAATAATATTGTTTATAACGCTACAATGTTGATGGTGGACATCATATTACATTAGCAAAATATGATGTTATGTGTAACATGGTTACATTACAAAAAGATCATTAATTCAAAAAGTATTGTTGTTTTTTAAGTGTACCACAAACTAATCTTTCAGAAATTGTGGGGTAAAGAGTGATGTTGATTCTCGATGTTTGAAACTAACTAATTAATTAAATTTACTTCTACTATAATGTCAAATTGCTTTGCCACTATAATATGATATGCTTATAATAATCAGTTAAATTGTGTGGGTTGCGAGGAACACAAGTTTAGGGTTGTTAGGGCAAGCATGCGGAACCTAAAATGGCTATTAACCAAATTTAGGGTCGGATCAATTTGTTTACTTAGTAGAAAGAGCAAACATCAACAGTTTTTTTCCAATAGAGAAAAAGAATTATCTCTTTTTTTTTTTTTTAGTTTTTATCTTTTTCTCAATATTCTCTTTTGCATTATGATTTGTCTCCATGCATAAAGCGAATTACATTTGAGAGCAGAGTCCTTAATGGGCGAAACCGCGTAAGCTATCAACAGAGACATGAACTTTGTAAGCACTCATCACTCCCAGAAAGTTCAAGACTTTTTTAGCTTTCTTGCAAATAACTCTTCCCCATCAGCGTGCGTAGTTGCTGACGATCAACTTTGAATATCCACAACAGTTCTAACTTTAGTTAAATTATTATTCCATTCTCGCTTTCCTTTTCAGTTCAACATGCATTACCATACAAAAAGAAGTTCGTGGGTCTCCATGGCTTTAATTATCTCCTAATTAAATTGGTCCACATAAGCCTAAGCTCTACAGATTAGTGGTATTCTTTTGGGGCTGGTATTATACAATGGAATGTCATCATGAACTAGGTTTCTGGGACTTTTTCGGATGAGCTACGTCCCTGAGCGGGATTAAGTATTCTCCTGTTTAGTGCTCCTTCGGACTAAAAACTAGACAGTAAAATCGATGGAGACCTACATTTTGGTGTTATATCAGATTAACAAACCATTAGTTTAATACCCTGCCTATCCAAAATTAAAATAATTTAATAGTAGTGCTCAATCTTAAGATATAAAATAATTTACTTTTTCTAATACAATGATTCATTTACAAAAAAGGGTGGAGGATTGAGCTGAGTTGCACAATAGATCAACTTACTAACCCTTATGGATCTGCGTGTGACAATTGACTCTTTTTTAGTGTTTTACTTTTTTGTTTTAATTTTACTATTTTGGATATTATTGTTTTTTATTAGAATATGTTTAAAAAAAAAAGAAGAGATATTTGTTGATTTGCCCCTTGAACTTGTATAGAGGTGACAATTTCCCCTTGAACTTTAATTTTAGCCGATTAGCCCCTTGAACATTTATAATTAGCCAATTTCCTCCTTGAACTTTAACTTTAGCTAATTACCCCCTAAAATTTTATAAATAGCCAATTTCCCCCAAGCGTTAGATTTTAAATTTTTCATTCAATTTTCATCCATTCAATTTTCCATTCTTTTTGCCCCCATACAATTGTCATGTGTTGTCCGCGTGATTAAAATGGATAAAAAATTGGATAATATATTTTTTTTTAAATCTAGTGTCAGGAGGGAAATTGGATATTTATAAAAATTTAAGGAGTAATCGGCTAAAATTAAATTTCAAGGGAGAAATTGGCTAATTATAAAAGTTCAGGGGGGAAATTGATAGCTCCATACAAGTTTAGGAGGCAAATCGATAAATATGCCTTGAAAAATAATGAACTTACTAACCACCTTACATGGTGGTTTTTTTTTTTTTTTTTTAAATTCCAATAGGAGAAGGGCAATTTGGGTATTATGAGAGCTTCACCTTTTTTATCTTCTCTCTTAAAAAAGGAGTGTTGATAATCCCACGCCATTGTCCTATTTCCCCATATTTTAATAAAATCTCAAAAGTATTAATAACATGTTTATAATTTTATAAAAAGACTTTTAAACCCCTACCCCATTTCTCCCCCATTGTCTCTCTCTGTCCCCGTTTCTTTGTTCTGTTTCACGTTTCATCTCTCTTTTCTCGGCTTCTGTACCGACCACCACGGCCGGAAGCACGAAGGATTAGGAGGAGCACGTCAAAGTTGTGGTGGTGGAGGAAGGGAAAGAGGAGTGCCCCTCTCCTCTAGGGCAAGTCACTTCTTGTTTAGGGCTTAAATTTCAATTTCCATTGAATTTTAATGGTTGTGGAGATTGAGAGCGTCACCATGGTGGTAACTAACCTTTTAGTTTGTTTTTTTATCACCCCGAACTTCATTGCTTGATAGTTGCTTATTACCCCGAACTTCCTTGCTTGATAGTTGCTACAAGTGCAAGTGACTTGTTGCCATAGTACAAAATCTAGAGATAGACAGCTTGTGAACAAGATTGAGAAAATGGTATTGGATTCTGGGATTTTGGGTTGGCTAATTGACATATTTTGCTGCTAAAGAGTTCCAGAGGAGACTAGAGGTGGAAACAAGATAACGATGGTGTGGTGCTGGTACTATGATACAGGTTATTTATAGGGGGTGGGAAAATAAAATTTTAATTTTAAAATTTTTATAGTGGGTGAGATATTATAATGCGGTGGAGAAATAAGACAATGAGGTGGGTCTAGTAGCTCTCCTAAAGTTTGTACCATTTAAAATTCATGAATTAATTATGACTTTAAAGTGCAAGAGTTGATGAGATCCCATGAGCCAAACACTTAGTGACATAGATAAAGTGAGCATGGTAAAAATGTCCCATAGTCATAGTCGTTACTCTACGTGTTGACAAGGGAGAAATTACTTTAGAATACCAAATCTTATATGTTTGGCATCAGAAAATCCAATTTTTCTTTAATAATTAGGACTATTCAGTACTACGAAAAATGAACGATCAGAATTGAATTGAGAAAATAATATGTGTGCTTACTTACCAATCTAATAGATATAAAACCGAAATATTGAAGACTTACCCTAGAAAATCAATTTTTTTTATTTTTTGGTCAAACCCTAGAAACTCATCAAAATCCACTAGAAAGCATGATTTGCTAGTGAAATTTTGGACATTAGTTAAGGGAAATTTGGTAAAATAAGAGGCACGCGCCCCTACTGTTCCCTTCATACCTCCACCCCTGCTCGTGGATGTCACTACATGCTGGACAAGTTAACGAGTTGTTTCGCAACGAAGAGGGACCGGATATTCCCAATTGAGCCCAAAATGACATAAACGCAGGTTATAAGCCTTTTTGAAGCATGCCATACTAAGAAGATGTACCAAATTAATGATACCGCACTCTGTATCACATATTAATGTTGGTTGATCGTTACATATCGTTTAAAGATAATAACATGCTCACTTAGAAAAAATGAGTCCACTCCACCCCATGTGATATTTCAACCTGAAAAAAAAAAAAAAAAAAAAAAAAAAAAAAAAAAAACATTATAGCCCCTTTATATATGATACAGTTGGTGGCTGCTCTTGATGGAGAAACTTTTTGGTGTATTCAGACGATTATAGTGTTATTATCTCACTCATATATCCTAGAATTGGAATATTCAACCATGCACATATCCATACTATAACACATGAAATAATCTTCTCTTCATGGCAAAAGGGCTAGCTAAAATTTTATCTTAAAGATGGAATGTTATTTGGAACCCTAGCACAATATTTGGCTTTCTTTTCCCACAGTATGACCTGAACGCACACAAAAACTTTGATTGAAGCAAATCATAATCTTAAATATATTAAAGTTTGACTTTCCTACACACACGGCTTTGAGAATGTAGACGGCATTCAAGCATTAGTGGAGATCTGCCGGCCAACGTCGGCAGCGTATATATGATATGAGTCAGTCACCTTCTCAAGCCGCAAACTACGGTGGCGCCACTACGTATGCTATATGGCAATTGGCAAGAAGCATATGATTATGGGAGTTCACACTAGGATATAGAATCTACAAGATACACTAATCACATTGTATTGAATTAATAATACATCATAATCACAATGGATTAATTATAGTTTTTGAAGACATTAAGGAAATTTGGTGCCCACGCAAATGACTGAAACTAGTTTTACAAACGAAGCTAAAGCCACTTCACATCCACAACACGGACCGAGTGCGCACTTCTCTACATTCGAAAAAAAATAACTAAAACGTAAAATAAAAATTCAACCAATTAACTTTTGGCAAAAAAATAAAATAAAGTTTGTTTGGTCTAAACTGCAATTTTAATTTTTGGCGGTTTCTTGTACTTAGACCAGGCTACCTCTCATCGACCGGGAATAGGGCTGCGGTCGTCGAACGATAGCCGGAAAACCCACTTGGTGAGTGACCGTCTTCTCGAGTGGCTTAACTGGCTGCTTTGGCTGCGGCCAGTGACGTCGGGGACGTTGTAATATTCCCCCACAAAGGCCTTCAGTCTCTGCATTGCCAAGTCCAGTGTTTCCTCGGACAAGTTTGCAAAGCAGACACGAAACCAACCAGGTTCCGTGCAATGACATGACGATCCAGGAGAGATATTGAGGCGAACTTCGTATACAATCTTTTTCCAAAGCTCCATTTCGGCTTCGAAGGTGTTGGACCTAAGCAAGTGGCTCATATCCACCCAACAGAACAAGCCAGCATTGCCCTTGAGGCAGCTAATGCCGGCTTTCTGAAGGCCGGAGACAAGCTTTTTCTGACGTTGTTTGAGTCTTTTTTGGTTCTCGGCTATGTAGTTCTTAGTAAGTTTCTTGTCGGATAGCATGGCGGAGAGAAGGTGCTGAGTTTGAGAAGAGACAAGTCCAAAGCTTGACATTTTTGTAGCAGCGGCCACAACCATGTCGTCGTTGGAGTAAATCGCCCCGACTCGAAAACCCGGAAGACCAAGATCCTTAGAGAGGCTATAGACAACGTGAACTCGCTGCCAAACTTCGGAATTCTCATCACATTTTCTATCTTTGAGAACTTCCATGACGCTTATAAAGGATGCGGAGCTAAAAGCTGTGCCGGAGTAAATTTCGTCGCTAATAAGGTGGATGCCTTTGTCTTCAACGAAGGAAAGGAGGAGGTTGAGCTCGTTTCTGGTCATTGTGGTCCCCAATGGGTTTGATGGGTTCGTGACCAATACGCCTTTGACTCTGAGATTGCGTTTTTCGGCTTCTTGGTAGGCTTCTTGTAGAGCGGGTTCAGTAATTTGGAAGCCATTGGAGCTTGTGCAGTGAATGGGTACAATCTCGACTCCAGTTCGCCATTTGAGGTCTCTATCAAATCTGTAAGAAACGTAATAAAATATTTTTAGGGATGAATTAATGTTTAGTTATTTCTTATCATGAAATGAAGTTCACGAGTCACTTCAGATACTAAAAACTTGGTAGGTCTCAAGTTCAAATCGTTTGTAAAACAAGAAAATAAATTGAAAAGGATAATCAAGTGATTATTAAGATACGTACCCTGGGTAGTATGGTGTAGGGATAAGAACAGCTTCACCGGGGTCAGCGAGGCAGAAGATGAGGGTCTCATTGGCTGAAGTTGCACCGGCGGTGAGGACTAAGTGATTGGGATCAAAGGTCACTTTGTTCCCTCGGATTTCTGCCATGAAATCTACCAATGCCTGTAAGAAGAATGATCAAAAGCTGAGTCAGATATGCAACTGGCTAGAACTTACTTGTTAGAGTAGTACCTTTGAATTGCATTAACGAAAAGTGAGCACTATATTATATACATAAGTTCACCTTTTTGAATGCGGGAAGGCCGTGATAATCTTGGAAGAGTGCAAGCTCTGCAAATATGGATTCTCCATTTTTCTTAAATGCAGCTGCGTCTGGATTCTTAGCGAGCCATGACTCCAGAAGATCAAAGCAGAGCTGGACAAAATTGAAATAATGAGTACAAAGTTTATATGCTAAATATTACTATATATGGCAACAAGGGCGGAGCCAAGTACAAGGCTCTCCTAGGCTATAGCATAGGGAGAGTTTGGTTCTTCACGCTTAAAAATATTAATTTTTAGGTTAGTTTATGATTTTTAATTGTCATATTTCACAAAAGAAATGAAATTTTTTTATTAGTAAGCCTATTTTTAAGAATAATAAGAGGTAATAGATGTTAAATAAACTCATCACTTTAACCAATATTATATTTAATAATAATAAATTAAAACTTCCATATCACAAATGGTTCCTTATTTTATTCACTTGAAAGTTTTGAAGGCTAGAAACCTAGAAAACATAGCATAAATTTTTTGCTTCAAATTGCTACATTCAAGTTTTTACTATTATATAATTTTATGTAGGCAATATAGGATTAAAAACTTGATTTCGTAGTAATAATTTTAGCTTAGCCCACCCACCGAATAATTTCTGGCTACGTCATTGTATAGTAACATTTATGCATGTTTGTTCAATTAATTAAGCTACTAAATTATAATAATTATTTACCTGATTTTCTGCAAGACCCATCTGAATAATCCCGTTTGTGTTGTGGACCTCATGGTAGGGGTTCTTCTCATACTCTTGCCAGCCTAAGAAGTAGGAGGAGTCTTGGCCGTGAGAGTTGAACGTAGCGTTTCTGGATAACATGTGCATTTTGGTGACAAGCTATAACACAAAAGTGTGAATAGGAAGAGATAGCAAAAGAAGAGAGAGAGAGAGCTTGAGGTTTTTGTTTTGGTTTTGGATTACAAGTTTGAAGTGGGATATTGGATGGTGTTGGAGTGGAGAGGTCTATATATAGCGAAAAAATAATCATTATATTTTAAACATATATAAAGGATTTGTCTAACAAAGGAATGCCACGTCACACTGAGTAACCAAACAATTAAGACAAACAAGGGAACATTTATGCTCTATAGCTATGGTGTAGGTTCACCATACACTTAATTATTTGTCATGTACTGTCTTTTCACCTAATTCTAGCTAACTTTTGCAGTAAATGTTACCTTTTCAAATTTGAAAAATATTAACCAAGGTTATGTGAAATGGCACGTGTCAGATGATTAGGTGTATGGTGAGCATACACCAAAGTTTAGAGTGGTGAGCAAAAACAAACGTTCATTATTTTTCTTAGGAAAAATGTTAGGGAGATCATGTTTTTAGATCATATTTTGTAAAAGGGAAATTCATCGTTCAAAGGGAATTAGACTACTCAAGAATATCAAATTTCATTTATTTTCTATCAAAATTGAATAAAAGATTTCAAAAATATCGAATAAAAGAAAAAGAATAATGTATCGATGAAAGGTTGCTTGATCTTCTTTGGGAACTTGAGTAAGGCATAGTTGTGTTTAATAGAATACCCCTCTTTATCTTTATTTGGTGTAACTATTTGAGGTTAACGAGGAAATTTTTATGTCCATATTTAACCAAGGAATTCAATCATCATCAACCACATCATATGGTCTACAAAACATGATTTAAATAAATGACATCTCCAGCATCACCCCTTACTTAATATTTGTGATTCATGAATTTTGGTCAGGTAAAATCATAAATTTTGATCAAGTAAAATATCAAAGATAACACGATAATTCTACGCGCTTTTATATCCACCGTCCAAAGCAAAGACATTGATCAAGCAGGACCTCCACATTCCCAAAACCCAAAAATCAATGAAGTTTAGTGTTTACTAATCAAGATTAATTAATTAATTTTTGTCACTATTTTCTTGAACTAGGAAGTGTGTTCCACCACCTACAAACTTGAGTGGGGATTACGAGTGTACAAAGAAGCATTAATCAGATTGTAACTGAAAAAACAAAGAAACAAGAATTAAGACTGGGGTCTAATTTTGTTTAGAAAGCCTTACCGACAGCGAGTATCATAGAAAATGGCTAGAGTGACCCACAAGGTCCTTGAAAATTTCGACCTACGACTGTGCCCCCTGGTCCATATGCTTCTTGACTCTAGTAGCCACAACTAATTTTGTCGGCCATTTTTCTCCTCTATTTTTCTTTTTTTTTATTTTATTTTATTTTAACCTTTAAGTTCGTTCGTACAAGTTCTTGTGTCTGATAAGCCCATTACCCTAATAGCCAAACAATGTTTTGATTTGAGTCAACCTCGAAAAATTCGGTAGGAACATAAAGGGCATCTCTCTTTTTTCTTCATTTAACATCATCACTCTAATCTCCTTTATAATTAGGTATAAAAACAGGGAAAACACTAGAATCATTTGTTATAAACCTTGTTTTGTTTTCCCTTCATTTAGAGGAGAAATTGGATTTGCCATGAGACTAATAACTATTAATTAGGGAGCCTAAAAATTGCTCTTGAGGTTAAGTCAATTTTTGTTAAGATTCCATGAAATTATATGCACGATATATATATATATATATATGTTTCAAAAGATTTAATATAAGATTATTTAAGAATAATCAAAGCGGGTACTTAAAATTGCCTTCTTTTATGGCAAACTATTATCCTATAAATTAAAGAGAAGACTTTTAGAAGGACTCAATTATATATGTCACCAACTTATACCCATCGTTAGAATATGCATGCAAGTATAAATTTTTCAGCAATTAGCATAAAGAAGGCACACAAACTAGTCAGAAAAATTCAGAGATACCGATGACTGATAAACTTTTGCAAAAATAAAAATACATTAAACAAAAACAAATATGTACCAATTAAACAACTAATCTCCATACGCTAAAACGAAATAACTAATCTCCATCACCCAACTCATAATTATATAGAATTATAATAACAAAAAGAAACAGATACTATATCTGGAAGCCAAATTCTTTATTTTGGGGTCCATTTTTTGTTTTTCAAAATCAAATATTTTAATGAAGGATAAAACGTGTTCCTCTTTGGGGGAATGAGCTCATTTCCCCACATGTGAATAAAGTATCTTCATTACAGAAATTTCATAATCAGAACCACTGAATTTTTTAATCTTCATCTGAAGATCATCCTATAAAAAATCATTCAAATCGGAGTTCGTGTAATCATCCAAATGTACTAATAAATGGAGGGTTCATTGTGAATATATTATTTGGTACCTACACTGTTAATTTATTTGATAAAGTCGGATAACTAAATGAACTCCAGTTCAAATAATTTTTTATAGGATGATCTTTAAATGAATTTTAAAGAATTGAAGGGTTCTGATTATAAATTTTTTACAGTAAAGATACGTTATTTGCAAATGAAGGAATGAATTTATCCCCAAAGCAGGAATGCAAGCATTATATATTAACAACATGGTCTGTTGATTATAAATGATTTTATTACCAAATACCTTAAATGGTTTTCTTTTCTGTTATTCCAACTAACTTAGTATAAACTAAATATTATTGCCAAAATCTAAACCGTCTTTCAAATCCTTTCATCCAATGAATATTTTAATTTTTTCTCCTAATACATGGCCCATTGGTTTGGACCTCCAAAAGTTAAGCAGCAAATCGTGATTGAACAACCGAAAATTGATCAATTTTTTTTAATTCATGAGTCGGGGCATCCTAATTGGACTGCCGAACTTGAGCAGCAAATCTTTGGTATTCGTATTTTCATGATAATGTCTTGCCTTGCCATTTGGACGGCGGTGACTCGACGTTTGCTATTCAAACTTTGCAATGCACTGATGAAGGTATAACATAAAAGTACCAAATATCACTTAGTATTACGGTCTAATTGTATTTTTCTTAACTTGTAAGTGAGAGATCTTAGATTCAATTCTTGTAGAAACGAATTTGAACCATATTATTGTTAATTCATTATGAGGCTTAACTTATTCCCTACTCTCTTAATGTAGATTATAATATTGTTTGTTAAAAGAAAGTAACAAACAAATGTAAATAAATATAATTAATTAGACTGAAAATATGCTAGTGATGGTTTGATTAGGATGTTATTAAAGCAAACAACGATTATTATTCATAACAACTTCTAACCCATAGTCCGCCCTTTGTTTCTGCTACCTGGTTTCTAAGCCTTCCCATTGTAATTCACATAGATTATTAGTCCCTACTCCCTATAGTTGCCGCTTTTCAGGAAAGATATAAATTGAGTTAAAAAAACTTCACACATGAAGTCACCATTAACAAATGCATTTATGGGTTTAAAAAGTGATTAACAGACAGTTGTTCGTTGCTTTTCAATTTGTATTTGATGGAAGCAATTAATTAGTTATAAGGCCGAGCAAGGCGATGGTGATGGTGATGGGTCGTTTCACTCACTGCTAGCTCCTAGATTTCCTTCGCTGTTTTTGGCATATATTTTATTTGCTTGTTAGGTTTTGACACCTCACTGCGGTATATAGCTGCATTGATCCTCTCTGGCTTAGAGGTCTTGCTATTGGAAGAGTAGGTGGGTCTGTCAGTATCAAAGAAATTAGCAACTATGAAGTAACCCTAGTATTGACTATACTATATGTATATATACTTTGAACAAAAAAAAAAAAATATGTATCTATATATACAGATTCTTTAACAAAAAGGATCCTATTTTTTAAAAAAAAAAATAATAGAAATACCCTCTTAACTGTTAGATTTGGCTTTTAATGAAATTGTATGGTTGAGATTGTGCGACCTATGATTTAATCTCAACCACACAATTTCATTAAAGTCAATTCAACGGTCACGAGGGTGTTCCCATTTTTTTAAAAATAATGGAGATCCCTCTTGTTAAAGGATCCGTCTATATGTGTGTGTGTGTGTGTGTGTGAATGTGAAGATCTAGTTGGTAATCTGAAACCAACGTTTCACAGCCCTAAGAGCAGTAGCAGTCTTGGATGTATATACGTATGTACAGCATATAAATTTCGTTTTTGCGGGAAGCAAGTTTAAGGGATGAAAAATAACCATTTAGAGCGAAAGCTGTAAAAAGCGATTTACAATTTACATTTTTTTTATATAAATTTAAATTTACATCTCATCAATTAGACCAAAAATCATATTTACGTCTCTTGAAAAAATAAATGAAATAATATGTTTTTAGCTTCTCAAGTTTTGCATATTTTCATTGGAAATTTTCTCAGATTCATAAAACTGGGGAAGATCTAGTTGGAGAAATATGCTATAATTAGATTAGAATAAGGATTCACTCCCTTTCACCGTAGAGAAAGCATAAAAAACCATTTCAATCACATGAAGAACTGTAGACTTTGATTCTTATATATAAAATATATTGTGTGATCCATTTCAGATTTTGTTTTAGTAAACCCCAAATGGAAATATATTGTTATTCTTTATTTGAAGGTCCTTCTTGTTAAAAAAAAAAAAAAAAAAAAAGGTCACATTTAAACTATTAAACCATTTAGTCATTCTTGTGGAAAAAAAAGTTAAATTTGAAACTATATTTTAAACCATTTAGTTAAAGCCAAAAAAAAAAAAAAAAAAAAAAAACTAACATGGAACATCAAGAAAACCACCAACAGTTAAATTGAGAGGTTCGAATTTGATGAGAATTTTTTTCAATATCTTTAAGAGACCAAAAAATTACTAAAAGACAGTCGGGGAACTAGAAAGTACATTGCAGCGTGGGCATAAAGGGAATCCGCCGGATCAACTTATCTGAGGAACCCTTATAAGATCATCAAATAATTCAGGTCCTTTTAATGAAAGAGCTATTCACACTCCTCCATGCATTCACCTTTCACAGACGATGAATATCCAGGGAAACAGGATGTGAAGATTTGACAAGCTACCTCAGTCTTTCACTCAAAGCTCCATTTTTTTTTTTTTTTA